CGATTATATATAAACTCGGTGCGGGGCGTCGCAATCTGGACTTCACTACTTATACCTTCCTCTATTCTCCTTCGCTGGGTCTAACGATGGATCCCTCTCATTCTGAGCCCGATATCCGGGAGACCGATACAATCTCTGAGCTTCCACAGGATTTGTCTCCTCGCTCTCATCATGTCTATTCACCAAACCGTCTGGGAACGCCGCTAATGCGCACTCCTAGTCATGCACAACATGTCAACTTGGACTTCTTCGACCCATCAGGAGTAGAGGAATTGCAGCGGACTTTGTCTCGCAGGTCACCAATCTCTTCTGTAGCCGAGAAGAAGGGTGAGCGCCTCGGGCCCTCCATCAGCCGTCGTCTCTCTCGCATCTCTCGAGCGTCCCGTGCATCGGAGGCGATATCTGAGCTCACGCTCATTCCGATCGAGGGCCTTTTCGACTTCGAGAAGACCCTTACGAACATGGTCAGGAGGTGAGTACTCGGATCCCATTCGCTGCTCGCTTCGGTGCCGACTATCAGCTAGGATCGATCAAGCGGATATTAAGAAGAGGGAACTAGGCGTCGTTTTCGAGGACCTATGGGTAGTCGGCTTGGGCGCATCTGCAACATATCAGCATACGCTGGGTTCGATGCTCAATCCACTCACTTACGTGCAATTCATCAAGCAACTTCGTCATCCGCCTGTTCGGGACATTCTTAGCGGCTTTGAAGGATGCGTATGTCCGGGAGAAATGCTCTGTAAGTGTTTCCATCCAGATCTGCATATTTGCTTCCCGACTTACCTTGCGTGCTTCAGTGGTTCTTGGCCGTCCGGGCGCTGGATGCAGCACGCTCTTGAAGGTGCTCGCGAATCAGCGAACGGAGTACCACGCGATATTATGGTGATGTGCGCTACGACACCTTCACGCCGCAGCAGGTTCATAAGCATTATCGCGGAGACATTCAGTACTCTCCTGAAGATGACGTTCACTTCCCTACCCTGACTGTCAAAGAGACGCTCGACTTCGCCGCCAAGACGCGCACGCCGCATTCTCGAATCACGAGAGTCGCGAGGAGCACCGGCGCATTATGATCGAAGTGCTCATGACCATCTTCGGTTTGAGACATGTCAAGGACACGCTCGTGGGACATGCGAGTATCCGAGGTGTGAGCGGTGGTGAGGAGAAACGGGTATCCATCAGTGAGGTTTTGGCGGCGCGAAGTCTGTTGACATCGTGGGACAAGTATGTGACATTAATGTTTCAGACTGGATGAGTATTAATGAAAAAACTATCTGCAGCTCGACGCGAGGCCTTGAGTGAGTTTATCAGTCTTTATATTCCAATTCTTCCTTATTCATTTCTCGCGCAGCGCCTCTACGGCGCCGGAGTTCGTTCGCGCGCTCCGGCTTGTGACTGACATAGGCCGTGTCTCGTCCATCGTCTCCATCTATCAAGCTGGCGAGTCGATATACGAGGTGTTTGATAAAGTCTGCGTTATCTATTCTGGCAAGATGATCTACTTCGGGCCTGCAGATCGTGCCCGACAGTACTTTATCGACATGGGTTATGAGCCTGCCAACCGTAAGACCACGGCCGATTTTCTTGTCGCCATCACGGACCCCAATGGACGCATTGTCCGGAACGGGTACGAGTCGCGGGTGCCGCGAACCGCGGACGAGTTTGCTCAGTATTTCAGGGCAGGGAGAGCGAATTTGGGCAGATGAATAGAGGATACATGGCCTCCTATAGGGAGGAGGTACATAGCCAGCCGGATCGCGCAAACCGGTACAAGCAGAGCAGCAAAGCAGAGCGCGCAAGGACGACTTCAAAGAAAAGCCCGTACATCATCTCGATCCCGACGCAGGCTCGCGCGTTGATGCTCGGGCGTGTGCAGATCATCAAAGGCGCGGTTGCCGCACAGGTGGTCCAACTCATGTCGTTCATTCTGCAGGGTGTCATTGTAGGCACGATCTTCTTGAGGATTAGTGATTCTACAACGATATTCTTCTCGCGTGGTGGTGTGCTGTTCTTGTACGTTGCGTTTCTCTTCTCGCCGCGCCATTTCGTCTGATGATCCTGATCTATTCCAGTGCACTTCTGTTCTCGGCACTCTCGACTATGGCCGAGATTCCTGCCCTCTTCGGTCAGCGCCCAATAGTCTTGCGGCATTCCAAGGCGGCCATGTACCATCCATTCGTGGAGGCGCTGGCCCTCACCTTAGTTGACCTTCCCATTTCAGCCGTTACAGCCATCTGTTTCTCCATCATTCTATACTTCGTCGTCCGCCTACAGCAAACTGCCGCACAATTCTTCATTTTCCTGTTGATAGTGTACTCCATGACTCTTACGATGAAAGCTTGATTCCGCTCGATTGCGGCTGCATTCAGGAGTGCGGCTCCAGCGCAAGCTGTTGCTGGTCTGTCGACGCTGGTTTTGACGCTCTACACCGGCTATACGATCCCTCAGCCGTCTATGATTGGTGCATCGCGGTAGATCATGTACATTAACGTAAGCCCGGTCTGTCTCTTGTGCTGTTCTTTTCTTATAGCGCACTGCCTGTTGCTTACAGCCCCTGAAATACGGATTCGAGGCGCTGATGGTGAACGAGTTCCACACGGTTAGCGGCGAGTGCGCATCACTTGTTCCCTCGGGCCCCGGATATGAGAACTTGGAGAAGTCTTTCATTTACTTTTACGACCGTCTGTGGAGGGTGAGTTTTACTATATCGGCTGACGGTTACAAGCGAATCGGCTGATATGCAATTGTCATCAGAACTTCGGTATCATATGTGGTTTCGGTTTCGGTTTCGGTTTCATAGCCATCCTGCTCATGCTCACGGATGTCAACACTGGCCTTGCGGGTGACAGCACGGTCACTCTATACAAACGTGGCTCTAAGGTTAATACCTTGGAGCAAGCCGACTCCGCTGACGAGGAGAAGCAAGGTAGCAGGCATAGCGTGTCAACGCAACATGGTATCGATGACGTTGACACGAAGCAGGCGTTGAACGAGGCCGCCGCCCAGAGCAGTACGTTCTCGTTCCAGAACTTGACGTATGTCGTGAGCGTTGGTGGTGAACAGCGGACACTGCTCGATAACGTGTCGCGGTACGTTGCCCCAGGCAAATTGACTGCCCTTATGGGTGAGTCTGATGCTGGCAAGACGACCTTGCTTAAAGTGCTTTCCGAGCACATGACTGGCGGTGTCGTCACCGGTAATCGTTTCTTGAATGGTCAACCTCTCCCTGATGACTTCCGTTCTCAGACGTGAGTGGATCGCCACATATAAAAACGAAATGGCTGCTGAATTTGCGACCGTTACAGCGGTTACGTACAGCAGATGGATACTCACTTGCCATATGCAACCGTTCGCGAGGCATTGCTCTTCTCTGCCAAGTTGCGCCAGCCCGCATCTGTGCCACTTGCGGAGAAGGAGGCGTACGTCGAGAAGTGTCTGAAGATGTGCGGTCTGGAGGATCATGCAGACGCCATCGTTGGCTCGCTCAGCGTCGAGCACCGCAAACGCACCACGATTGGTGTCGAGCTGGTTGCCAAGCCGTCTCTCACTTTCTTGGACAAGCTGACGTTCGGTCTTGACGCTCAGAGCGCGTGGACTGTCGTGTGCTTCTTGCGGCAACTGGCGGACAGCGGGCAGTTGATTGTATGCACGTACGTTCAGGAAGCTTCACCTTGTGCGACTTTGATACTGACGGCCCGCGATGGTTAGTGTCCATCAACCGTCAGCTGAACTGTTCGAGGTGTTTGATAGGCTTCTGTTGCTGCGCAAGGGTGGTCAGACCGTAACAAGAGGATCTGGGC